CGCCTATTGCAGATTTGTCCTCGCGGGACTCTGGGTTTGTTTGGTGCACCTCGTGGGCATCTTCCTCCGCAGGGGAGCGTGTTTTATGAACAGCGACTGCAACACGTTCGGTTTTTCGTTGGTTGCTTTAGTCGATCTTGGACATCCTTGAGAGGCTCGTTGGCCACATCTGGCCATCTTGAGGTCTTTTGGGAGCATGGCGGATGCGATACTGGACCAACTTGGGCTGTGTCGGAGGCCATATTGGGCCATCTAGCGCCATCGTGGAGCCATCTTGTCCCGAACTGGACCCCCCGACACCCCACGACCCTCACGGTCCAGACCCACAGGGATGAGGGCAGGGAGAGCGGCTACGTTTCCAACCGGAGTTGCAAGCTGTCTCGCTCACGCCAGCCCGCCCTCCCGCCACCAGGGATCCACAAGTTGCCAACCGACGCATGACCATCGAGGACCAGCGCAGGCACCAGGGGCGCCACGCTCGAGAGGGGCGCCGTACGTTGCCAGATGAGCCGCGCGCATCAGCCCGGCTCTCCAGGTGGACCGCGTGCTCCGCGTTGTCCAGGTGTGCCACGTGCTCCAGGCGCGCCAGGTGCGTCGCGCGCGCGACGTGCGCATGGGCGGGCCAGGTGCGCCATGTTCGTGTGGCAGCGAACGTCGCGCAATCTGCCGACACCCCCAACATCCCTGTCAAACGCCCATTCAGCGCAGGTGCGGAGTGGTCAGCGTGGCGCTTGGCGCGTGCACTCGCGATCACCTTGAATTTGGCGGTTTTGATGATGATGGTGGTTGGTCTCCGCACAGCGGCAAATACAAGTATCGTCCTGTCCTTGTCGCAGGCCAATGCAAATTCTAGAAGCTTCGCGTATCCCGACCAGCATCACCTCTGGCGGTTACTAGCTGCCGATGGCACCCCCTCCGTGAGCGCCGCGCGGCCCGCCCCGGCTTGTCTCACCTCCCGCTGTTCTCTTGTCGTTGTCTCTCTTCTGTTCTCTCTCTCTCTCGTGTGGCTGCGGCTAGTCAGCTGTAGCTTTTGACGGCGCGCGGCACTCCCGTTTGCGATCGCGAACAACAAGTATCCCGACCAGCCCATCCAGAAACGATGTCCAGGCGAGTTGAGGTGATCAGGGAAGTGCGGGAGCAAAGAGGGGGACGGCCGAACCGTGCGAAGGAGGGAGGAGGAGAAGGAGGAGGCTGGATGGATGGATGAGAGAGTGGGGAGAATTAGGATGAATAGGATAAGGAGGAGGAGAAGGAGGAGGAGAAGGAGGAGGAGGAGGAAGAGAAAGAGTAGGAGGAATAAGGTGGAGCAGGAGGAGGAGGGTAAGCGAATGGGCCAGAGTTCTCTTGGATGGCTCTCGGAGCCTCTTGGGATATCTCTTGGGCGCTTCTTGGTGGCATCTTGGGACGTTTTGGGGGTCTCTTGGTGGTCCTGGGTGGCTCTTGGGCGTCTTGGGTGCCCCGGGTGGGCCTCTTGGGGCCGCTTGGGGTCCTCTTGGGGCCTCCTGGGGGCCTGTTGGGGGCCTCTTGGGGCCATCTGTGGGCCTCTTGGGGCCTCCTGGGCGCTTCCTGGGGCCACCTCGGAGGACATCGATCAAAGAAGAGGGGGGCTTGAAATTGGCGCCCCTCCCCCCAAGAGGCCAACATGGAGCCCAAACCATAATACATCAAATGATTTCGGTTTCCTCACCGAGGCCGTTTTGGACGCCCTGACCGCTCGCGACCGGCTCCGTCCAGGTCCAGGGGAGGGGGTAGGGGGAGTGGTAGACCCCTCCCCGAAAGGGAAGAAGGGGGTTGGAAGAGGAGCCGCCCTAGACCATCTACGCAGGGCTGGTGGGACTTATGATGCGGTGCCCGCGTATGGTCATATGGTTGCCGTGGTGCGCACTTTGCATAACTTCTGTTGGCAGAGGTGCTGGATGGGTGCCCAGCCCCTTCGTATTTCTGGGACGGCAGACGCCCGAGTGGGGGACGGGGTGTTCATTGGTAGGGAGTAGTGATCAACCCCTCCGCCAAAAAACTGACGCCCAAAGGGCTTGCGGACATTGGTCCCCGTGATTTTCCGATACGACATGCACTACGGGCTTGCAACTGGTCGAACGACATGTGATTGTCAGTCTGACGAACTTCGTGCTCAACGTCTGTATTTCTGAGTATATATGGTGCGAGGGGAGAAGGAATGAGAGGCAGGGAGAGACGGATGGGCGCCGAATTTAGAGAGACATACTGAGAGACAAAGAGAGGGAGAGAGAGGGACACACACGTGTATACATATATATGTATATATACAAATATATACACACGTATGCATATACATGTATATAGAGAGAGGGGAAGACAGAGAGAGAGAGAGGGAGAGATATAGAGAGTGTCTCAGAGAGAGAGAGAGAGAGAGAGAAATAGATAAAGGTAACAAAACAAACAACAACAAGAGACAGAGAGATGGATGGAGAGAGTCAGATCATTGAGATAACGGGTACATAGATGTGTAACGTGTAAATAAAGAGTCAGCAATACAAATCAAAAGAGACGGTTGAGAGAGGGAGGGATGGAGGGACGAAGAAGTTGGGACGCGTCGGCCTCCGCCCTCGATTTGACCCTGAACACTCTGCCACTCTGCCACTCTGCCACTCTGCCACTCTGCCACTCTGCCACGGCCACCTCCCGCATGAGCGCGCATGCCTCCAGGCCCTGCTGGGCCTGCCGTTTAGTCAAACGGCAGCCCACAGCGGAGCCCCGTGGCCGAACTGTAGGCTCTCGCGCGCCGCCAGCACCGCGGTCGGCGGGCCGCCGGCACGCCTCGAGCAGACCCCCCTGGAGGCCAGGGAGCGGCCCGGAGTCGGGCGGCGCGCAAGGGGGGGGGGGCGACGATACAGCCAGCACGCCGAAAAGCAGGGGCCGCTGGGGGGGTCCGGGGAGGGGCTCCGGCCTTCGGGCCGTGCCTCAGATCCTGGTCGGGGAACCTGTTCGTGGCCAAGGCTCGCCGCGGTCAGGAACGCCGCTTCGTCCTTTCTTCAGCGTTCCGCATGGTGGCACGACGACTGTCATTGGGGGGGGGGGCGAAGGTGCATCCCGTCGTGCACCCTCGGGGCCCTGAAGGGGCCCCCCTCGGGCCCCACAGGTGCACCGATGGTGCGGGTTCCTTCGCCACGCAGTTCCCAGGCATCCGGCATCTTGAGTTTCTCGGTGAGGGGACCCTGGGAGTCCCGACCCCTTCCCCAGGGCCGTTGTTCATCCCGAGCACAGTCAACCCTTCGTCATGAGCGATTTTCCAAGGTTCGCCTTGCATCCTTCCCCTTCAGCCCAGCCTTGGCCGCTTTCGCTGGCCGCGCCCCGCTCGCAAAGTCTCGACATGGCCCTCCAAGGCCCTTGCATCCTTCTCGTGCGTCCTTCTTCTACGGGTTGACAGTCGTCTTTTTTCAGCCTCGGGGCCCGGCGACGGCCCCAGGAGACAGAACATGACCAAAAGCCTGCCGTCGAGACCTTGTCAACGAGACAAAGAAATGTCCGGGCCCAGGGCGCCTCGTTGCGCGACCCCATCACGCGACTGCAAGAGCAGGGGTGGACCTGAACAGTGTTTTTTTTGATTTCGTGGGCCGTTTTCGTTTTGATGTCGTTTTGCAGCAAAGGCGGATTGAAGACAAAACAGGGGAAACGAAAACCCAGCGAAAACGAACAACATTGCTCAGGTCTACCCCTCTGCAAAAGGTCATCGTCCGGGAGTCGACGCTGCCCGTGGGCCGTTTGGCCGCTGCTGGGAGGGCCCGTATGCGGCTGGTTCCCGGGGGCCTCCCCGCACGCCGTCGGCGCCAGACACAGCGAGGGGGGGCCCCCCAAGACGGTGTGGTTATTGTCGGCGGCGAGCGACAGGAGGGAAGTTTCGGGTTCTCTAGGTTCGGGGTTCAAGGCTCTCGGGCGTTTTCGTCGGTGCTCGGCGGTTTTCCACCCTCGGGATGCTTGCCAGCAGCTGCGCCTCGCCGAGGGCGTGCCGGGGGTGCCAGGATCGTCCCGAACGGGCGTTGGACACCTGAGTTATGACGGAAAAACTAGATTCGGCGGCGAGGGAGGGGGGGAAGTGAGAAGGAGGATGCCTTCTGAGAAGGCGGCGGGGCTTCCCAGAAGCTCTCCAGTCTTCTGAAAATGCCCACCCACCCCTCTCGTTTCTCGAGAACGGGGGATTGTGGAGTCCCTGAGGTTCCAGAGGGCGCGCGCGAGGCTGTGGCGTTGATTCGCGACTGTTTCTGTGCAAGCTCTGCTCTGTGTCGTCGTCCTCCTCCTCCTCCTCCTTCGCCTCCGCCTCCTCCTCCTCCTCCGCTTCCTCTTCCTCTTCCTCTCCTCTGCCTCTTTTTTTTCCCCCTGGTGCCCCCCCCCCAAAAAAAATCCGACTTGAGATTCGTGGATTTTTTTTTGGGGGGGTGGGGGTGGAACGCCAGGAAAAATCAGCGAGGCAGAGAGGGAGGAGGAGGAGGAGGAGGAGGAGGAGGAGGAGGAGGAAACGGAGGAGGAGGATGAGGAGGAGGAGGAGGGCGTTTTTCTTTGGGGGGGGAACACCAGGAGAAAACACAAAACTGAAGCAGAGAGGAAGGAGGAGGACGAGAAGGAGGAGGAGGAGGAGGAGAAGGAGGAGGAGGAGGAGGAGGGGGAGGCGGAGAGGGAGCAGGAGGAGAAGGAGTAGGAGAGGGAGAAGGAGGAGGAGGAACGGAGGAGGAGAAGAAGAAGGGTCAGCAGGAGGACTGGACGGTAGTGGTAGGAGCAGACAGACGGGCGGCCCCTTGTGTACTCACCGCATGGTCTGTCGATACGCACTTCTCTGACGCTGTGCGAGCAACAGCCCCATTGCCGTTGCAACTTTACGTGGTCATGGCCAAATCCACGGCCTTCCCCAAGTAGCAATGTATTAGTCAGCCCTGCGCAGCGCGTGCAAAGATATGCAGCAGCGCGCAGCAGCCGAACAGTGAGAACGCATGGGTTGAACCATGATACCTGGTATGGTGAATTCATGTGAAGGAGCATAGGCGTAGTGGTGGCATCCCGGATGCGAAGCTCTACTCTGTGACGTCGTCCTCCTCCTCCGCCTCCGCCTCCTCCTCCTCATCCCTCTCCTCCTCCTCCTCCTCCTCCTCCTCCTCCTCCCTCTCTGCCTCTTTTTTTCCCCCTGGTGTCACCCCAAAAAAAATCCGACTTGAGATTCGTGGATTTTTCTTTGGGGTGGAACGCCAGGAAACAAAAAACGAGGCAGAGAGAGAGGGTGAGGAGCATGATGATGAAGAGGAGGAGGAGGAGGAGGAGGAGGAGGAGGAGGAGGAGGAATCGGAAACGGAGGATGAGGAGGAGGGCGTTTTTCTTTGGGGGGGCAACACCAGGAGAAAACACAAAACTGAAGCAGAGAGGGAGGAGGAGGACGAGAAGGAGGAGGAGGCGGAAGAGGAGGAAAAGGAGGAGGAGGAGACGGAGGCGGAGAGGGAGCAGGAAGAGAAGGAGTAGGGCAGGGAGAAGGAGGAGGAGGAACGGAGGAGGAGAAGAAGAAGGGTCAGCAGGAGGACTGGACGGTAGTGGTAGGAGCAGACACACAGACGGGCGGCCCCTTGTGTACTCACCGCATGGCCTGTCGATGCGCACTTGTCTGACGCTGCGCGAGCAACAGCCCCATTGCCGTTGCAACTTTACGTGGTCGTGGCCCAACCCACGACCTTGTCCAAGTAGCAATGTATTAGTCAGCCCTGCGCAGCGCGTGCAAAGATACGCAGCAGCGCGCAGCAGCCGAACAGTGAGAACGCATGGGTTGAACCGTGATCTCTGCTATGGTGAATTCATGTAAAGGAGCATGGGCGTAATGGTGGCATCCCGGATGCGAAGCTCACAGCAGCGTCTCGAAAAGCTTACCCCGAAAGCTCTGCATGCCAACCCTAGGCGCTGCCGTAATGCCCGCCCTTTCCCTGCGTGGGCTTGAGGCTCTCGATCGGTGGAAGGTACCCGGTGCTCTGCATCTCCACGTAGCTGGTGTGCAGCTTGGCGAAGTAGAGCACGCAGAGCTTGCGGCGCATCGGGGCCATCTCATTGAGCGGGCGCGCGCAGACCCTAAACCACGACAAATATTGCTCAGCCACCTGCGCGTTGACACCTTTCAAGCGGCGGCTCAACCGCTTGATGTGGGAAGGGTTGTAGGGGCAGCGGCTGGTGTGCCCCTTCGCGTGCATCCAGTCGACAGACCAGTACATGATGTCCTTGCAGGCAGCTAGGTTCTGAGCTTCCACGTAAAAGGAGCAGCACCTGTCGTGCACGAATGTGTTCACGTTCGGGTGCTCCTCAACTGTGCGGCTCAGAGCTTCTGCTGCCACGCCATTCCCCTCTGGGTTCTTCTGCTCGACTGCGGCAGCGATGCGCCCCTCTGGAGTGAGGATCATGAACCAGCCGTGGTTGTGGTGCACGTGGCGGGTTGCTGTGCTGCTGCTCTTGTACTGGGGCTTCTTCCGAATGGCAGCGGCGGGCGGCCTTTTGTCTGGCGCTGCGGCAGACGGCCTATTGCGCACTGGCGCGGCGGATGGCCTCTTGAGAACCACGGACTTCCTCCTCTCGGCGGGCTTCACGCGGAGGACATTCTTCTTGATGACAGTCTTGCGAACCCTCTTCGTTGACACCTTCATCGCTGCTGGCTCCCTGTGCACGACGCGCTTCTGCCTTTCCTCATCGTTACATTTTGTGAGGACCTTCTCGTGCCCGTTCCCGACGAGCACGGTGACCTTCATCGGGCGCGGAGAGGGGAACACATTCCTGTGGTAGTAGTTGTCCAACCTGGAGAAGCTGTCGCCGGTGATCTCCGCGCCGATGATGATTCCGCGGTACTCTTTGATGGGCTCCATCTCCTGCGCCGCGATCAGATACACCAAAGCGTCGAGGTGAAACTTCCGGAAGTCGGTGACGAACTCCTTTTCCGTATCCTTCCTCACGCAGCGCAGTGCTCGGACCCACTCCGACGGAACACGACGTGACGAGAGCACGGATGCAACGCAGCGCAATTGCAACGCAATGCGATTGCAACGCAATCAGACCGCAATGCAAATACAATGCGAATGCACTTCAACGCAATGCGAACGCAATGTACACGCAATGCAAATTCAATGCGGCGCAATGCGCACACAATGCAAATAATCCGGCACCAAATCATCATCATTTCCCTTCTCTCGTCCTTCCTCCCCCCCTCCTGGAGCTCTCTGAGGATACCACCTTGGCAAATGGATCCCGATGCGCCCCGCTGGTCTTCACGCTCGCGCCGTCCGAGCGTGATTTACTCTTTCCCGCAACTTCCTGGCCAACCTGTTCCTCCCTCCTCATCCTCTTCCTGCTTTTCCTCATGGCAGTTCCTGCCAGCTTCTGCCATCAAAGCGATACTATATGCCCAAGAAAGGGAAGTATACCGAAACCAAATCTCTTGCCCGATGGATTTCGATGCGAAGCAATAGGACATGGCGCTACCGCACCGTCCTGCACCTAATTCCCTCCCCTTCCTCCTCCTTTCCCCGTCATCATCCAATGTTTCCCCCTCTATGCCCCTCCTCACACTCATCCTCCTCGCAGGTAAGATAGGGAGAGAGACACACAGAGAGAGAGATAGAGAGATGAAGAGAGATTGGTAAAAGAGATGTCAACAAACATCAACGACATATAACATACAAAGAGGGAGACATACACGAGCAGAAAGGGATAGTTCAGACGAGAAGTGCCGAAAGAGAAGAGAAACATACCAGAACGCCGACAAGAGGGAACAAACTTCAGAAAACCAGAAGAACCCCCCCAAAATGCCCCCCCCCCGAGCATGGTCGTCGAAATTCCAACCCCATGCCGCTTGGCACAGGGCTAGAGTTTCGAGGACCATGCTCGGGGGGGCATTGGTTGGCAGGGGTGACAGCATAACAGTGTGATACATCAGGGAAACGGGATGTATATCTATAAGCGTGATTGTGAAACCGCGAAACGGAAAGAGAGAGAGAGAGAGAGAGAGAGAGAGAGAGCGAGAGGGCGACAGAGAAACACGAAAAACATAAGAGAGCGGAAATGATTAAGAACGGGGAAGATCGGAACAAATCGTTTAGAACACACAGGGACTTCACAATGCCCTGGCTTCGAGAACTCCCCCCGCTGGTCGTCGACACCAGAGGGGTTCCGTGCGGATCACTGAAATAAATTTTTGGCGCGGAACTCCGAACGTCGATGCGTTGATGTTTGCGAAATCCGCGAGGAGTTCCGAAAGTTTATGTTCATGCAGTCGTGTGTTCCTTTGGTGACCAAGCCGTGCGATGAGTCAGTGCGGAGCTGGGGTGGGTGCACAATTTTGAAACTCGGGCCGTTACAGGATGTCTCTGGCGACTGGGGCCTCCAAGGTCCCAAGACCGTGCGGTGACGAGACATGCGGTGAGACGACGACGAAGAAAATGGCGGCGGTTGACGACGACGACGGCGACAGCGATTGTCGACGGTCGACGGTTGACGGACGATTGTGACGACGACCAGACGACGCCGGCGGCTGTCGACGACGACAACGGCGACGGCGACTGTCGACGGTCGACGGTTGACGGTTGAAGGACGACGACCACGACGACGACGGCGGTGACGACCAAGACGGCGACTATGACCACGACGACGACGACCACGACCACGACCACGACGACCACGACCGCGGCCACGACCACGACGACCACAACCATCACGACGACCTCGACGACCACGACGATGACGGTCGACACTCGACAGTCGACGGCGCTGACGCTGACGACGACGACGACGACGACGACGACGACGACGACGACGACGACGACGACGGCCGACGACGGGCTTGCGCGGTGGCTCGCCGATCGCGGCGCCAGTAGCCAGAGGAGCTGCGCGGCCTAATTCGCGTGGGGGCGCCCTCGCGGTGTTGCACCTCTGGAAAGCGCCGAGGTCGTGGTGAATTATATCGGAGGCTGCCAAGGGGTGAGTCTGGCCCAATCAGTCGTGAGGTGTGGGTCACCCTCAGGGGCGCGAAGGTGATCGCGCTTCACGCATCGCGGCTTGGGTTGGAGATGCGCCCTTCTCCAGGGCGGCGGCGCGAGAGCGCGAAGACAACGGCGCGTTACGCGTTGCGGGGCGCGATGTGCGAAGTTGGGTGGCCTAGTGAAATCGGCGGAGTGCCGCCTCTGCCCTCGCACGTGCTGCGCTCTTCGGCGTCCGCCCCACCTGCGAACGGCCTCGGATAGCCTCGGAGTGGCCTCGGATGGCCTCAGACGTGGTGCGGATGGCCGCATCAGCTGGGCAGAGGGAGTCCCCCCCATATCTTCGGCACATCGAGCTGCTCCCCACAGCTTCCCGTGCCGTTGTGGGACCCTTTGGGGCCTTCTGGGCTCTGGGCCCTGTGAGGGGAGTTCTGGAGACCATCCGGGGCATCCCTGGACAGGTTATACGTTCATCTTTGGGCCATTGGGACACCCGTGGCTGCGCCCGACCACTGTGCCACAGTTATTTGTGACGGGACGCTATGAATGGGACACATTGCGACGGGGCAGTGAGTGCAAAAAAAGGAAGCTGACGCGGCGATCGGTCGGGCCCGCTCGGGCGCAGGGGAGGATTCAGGAAAACGAGGAGGAGGAGGAGGAGGACGAGGAGAGGGATGGAGGAGGGAGGAGGGAAGGGAGGACAGGAAGAGGAGGAGGAGGAGGACGAGGAAAGGGATGGAGCATTTAAGGAGGAGGGAAGGGAGGATGGAGGAAGTGGGTGGTGGAGGAGGAGGAGGAGGCAGGAGGAGGAAGGCTGGAGGGGTGAAGGAGGAGGAGGAGGAGGAGGAGCCGCGGTGTGCGGACCGTGCTTTCCCCCCACGGAACAGCCGCACCGCCCGCCTCCGGCGCGGTTGTGTGGGCGGGTCGAGAGCGGCGGGGCTTCGGCTGCCGACTTCTCCATGGGCCTCACAGCTCGCCATGAAGCCCGCGGGCCCTCAGGGTCGGATGGATCTAGGACGAGGACAAATCCGGAGCGCGGCGGAACGCTCCCAGAGCGTTCCAGAACGCTCTTGGAAGGCCGCATTATTCGATAGATCCTCCTTGCGCCCGCCAGGATTGGGCCCGAGGTCGTTTTCGCTAAACCACGTCTTGCTAAAAGGGGGGTCTGTCCATCCCCGAGGGTCCTGAAGATCTGTGCAGCCTTCGGGCTCCCGCAGGGCTCTGCCCAGGCCTCGCGGCCTGCCTCGAGACGGCTCGAAGGACGCAGGCCTGGTCTGCGGGGGGAGGCCCCGGGGTTCCACGGCCCGCTTCCTACGGGACCCGTTTCCGGGCGCGTGTCGATTCCTCCGATTCGATCCGGTGCGATTTCGATGGGTTCCGATTCCGATTCCGATTCCGATTCAATTCGACGTCGGATTCCCATTTGAATTCCGATTTCTTGGTAGAGGCTTATTAGCTGCCGATTTCTGCCGATTCGACTTCTCCCGACTTGGCTGCCAACTTCCGCCGATCCGATTCATTTTTTCGATCGACGATTCCGACTTCTCGATTCGATTTTGTGCTCTCCTGCCGTTTGCTTCACACCGTGCACCTTCATGTGCTTCGCGTCACAGGGAGCCGCATTCCCTTAGGGCTTGGCAGCTGATCTCCGATTGCCTTGCCGGGGTTCCCGCGAGGTTTATCGAGGTCGACCCACGTGAGGCGGTGCAGGTCCAGGTAGGTCGAGGTGAAGTCAGCGATGTCTATATAAATCTGCGACGCGTCGTGGAGGCTCCAGAGCGAGTCTAGGGACAGCAGAAGTCATCAAGCCTTCAACCGTGCAAATGTGAACCTTACCCTTGCATGCCAGGTTCATGAAAAGCTGGCTGATGTTCAGAATTGGACGGTTGCCTGCGGCCAGGTGAGCCCACGCGGGGGTCGTCCGATCTCCCAGTGTCGATTGGACACTCTTGGGTAGGGTTCGCAAGTGGTCGCAGACGTCCACCACCCGGTAGCAGACATGGTTCTGGCAGATTGATGAGATCGATATCGAGCGAGCAGCGGAGGAGAGAAGGGTTACGAAGGACCTTCCAGTCAAAGCGGTCAAAGGCAGATTCCGATGGTTTGTCCGCTTGGAGCTGCAGAATGTGGCCGTGCGTTGCGTGCAGTCCTAGGGCGCCCAGTTCTGACGCTCCTCCTGGACGGGGATGGCGCGCGGTCGTTCAGTGCCTTTCCAGTCCATATGGGGTTCTCTGCACTAACATCTCGGTGTTCGTAACGCTTGCCTGTATCGGGCATTGACGTCGCAAGCCGAAAACAGACATCTTGCGGCCATCGCGATCGATTGCCCATGGCCCACCACCAAACGAGAACGGCAACCACCACGGTTGCAACGCATATGTCAGACTCCTTGTATCAGGTTGACCTGCGGCAATACTCGGGACAATGAGCACACAAGCTCGTGAGACGTGATGCAAATAGACGTCGAAGGGGCGAGGGCGTGGAGTGCTCGTGAGCTAGCATGCGGCACGACACGGGATTTCGTGCGAAGCAGTGCGCGTCACACGACACAGCACGGAACACGAGGCGAAGCAGCATGTGAAAAGGACGCGTGGTGTATCACCACCCCTGTTCACTAGATGCATTGCTGAACCGTTGGCAGGTGTTCTCGACCTGGGATGTACCATGGCCCAGCGTGGGGCAATTCTGTACAGCCCGCATGAGCATGTTCATGAGGTGATTCGATACGTGTCTCAATGCAGGCCTATCGTGGTCAACTGTGGTTCGGTGCACTCGGCAGTTGGACATCTCGCTTGGTGTGTGGAGTTGTCTTCAAAGCATGTAGTGCGTCTTCCCCATCAGCGTTACACGGTAGAGCAGCAGCGCAGAAACAGTTTGATGCATGTCTACCGTCGCGGCGACAATGCAGCGTTTGGCTCAGGTGGCGTGATTACCCTTAGCAGGTTCCCGAGAGGGAGTCCCTGTTGCTTTCTGTTTCGCGAATTATTTTCCTTTGCGACTTCTCTCTCATGCATTGTGTACGTTTCTAAATTGCTTATTGTTATTGTTGCCATTGCATTCGAGTCTCATTGCCATTGCACGTTGCTTATTGTTTATGCGAAGTGTGGTGTGCAACAACTCGCCCATTCCTTCCGCTCCTCTTCCCCGTCCCCGTCCCCCTCCTTGACCTCCTGCCCCCTCGCATCCCTCCTCCCTCACCGTCTCCCTCCCGCCCTCGCCTCCCCCCACTTATCCGCACCCTCCCCCTCCTCGCCCGCCTCCCCCTTCTTCACCTGCCTCCCCCCGCGTCCCTCCTCCTACCCCTCCTCATCCCATTCCCCTCCCTCCCCTCCCCCCCTCCTCCGCCCTCCCCCCCCCCGTCCGCCCTCCACCTCCCGTCCCGTCTCCTCCTTCCTCCCCCCCCTTCGCCTCCGTGCCTTCCTCCTCCCCCTCGTCTCGCCCTGGCTGGCTGATGCCCGCCTCGGCCCGCCCCAGGTCATGGGCTCCATGTCTCGCGCGAGGGGCCTCGCTTGCGCCACCGTTGCCGTCGTCGGGGTGCCGTCCCCGCCCCTCCGCCGAGGGGGAGCCGGAGAAGAGGAGCTGCAAAAGGAGGCGGAGTGAGGAGGAGGAGGAGTGAGGAGGAGGAGGAGGAGGAGGAGGAGGAGGAGGAGGAAGAGGAGAGGGCAGCAGGTGGAGAAGGCAGGAGATGGAGAAGTGCAGGAGTAGAATGGAATGGGCCTATCGCGATGCGAAGTAACATGACCTGACACCACCCGAGCCATCTGCTCGGGTCTAATTAGGCTATCGGTATTTGGGCAAGAGGCCCTTGCGAATTCGATCGAGAGAGATACACCTGCCCATTGGGCGAAATACGCCTCCTGGGACCCTCCGCACCTTCGGGTGAAACAGGACATTGGCCAGCGCTGGCCTGAGCTGAACACGGGCATATGACATGCACGAGCTGCAGAAGCACACAGTGAGGGAGGGATGCGAAAGAAGCTCGTGCCACGGGTGGATCCGCCTACGTCCAGTATTCGTAGACTGACCCCTCGGAAGCTTCAACACCGACGAATTTGACTGAGACTGCAAATGAACACATTCGGTTTTCCTCCATTCCGTCAGGCGGGCTTTGGAGGCACAGCTGTGGCAGCGAGTGCAACTCCCACCGTCTGGCGGAAAAGCATACTGGGATCCGAAGAAGGGCGAGAGCAGCGGGAGTCGGCGGGGGCCGTCGTTTTTTCTTTTCTCACGGCAGCTCTTTTTTTCCACAGCAGCAGCTTCAAGGTTCGCCCTCAATGGGCGGCGGGCTCTGACAGGCTGGCCTTGTGCTCAGCCGGAGCCATACGCACACGAGACAGTTTCCTTCGCCGCCAGTCCCGCCACTTCGTCGGCGGCCTCATTGCCCTGGGCCGTCCATAGGAGAGTGCCCGAGGCCTCGAGAGTTGCCCCTGACTGGTGAGAGGCAGCTTGCAGCACACTGGTGTCAGAAAAGTCACGTTTGCGCTTTTGAGCGCCTGTGAGCCTCCAGAGGTCCTGCTTTTCGCCCCTGTGGAAACGAAGAAGCTTGGAGTGCCAGCCATCCATCACTGCCTGGCTGCCGGTGAAGTACACAAGGCAACCTGCACTGAATTCGATATCTGCCCAGAGGGTAGCCAGCTCCCCGCGCGGGACCGACTGCTTGACCGCTGGAAGGTGCCTACGCAGAGAGACCAGCACATCACATGAGGCCGATACCGATCCTACGCAAACGGTCATCGCGGGAGCCCTCCGCCCCCCCACTGGCATGACCGAACACGAAACGAGGATGGGTGAGCCGATTCCGAGAGTGAGTGCATCTTGTGGCCCATCAGTGCCACTAGTTCTCCAACATAATTAGGCGGGTGGCGCCTCGGCATGGGTCCACCCCGCTGGCACAATTCAGCGCCGCCAGAAACAAGCCTCAGCCTCGTGCTGGCTGTGCGCTTGGGGCGCCAGCTCGTTCGAGGCTGTGTAGGCTGTCGAACCTGTGCCACGCATGCATGACCAGGCGCGGAGGAACGCAGTCTCGGCGGCCTCCGTGCATCCTCTGCTTGGGCCATGTACCCCCGACTGCCACGCACAACAGCATCTCCGCCTGCTGGTGGCCGTGCTCGGCCTTCTCCAGCGCGGGCAACAGTTTCCTGCAGGAGCCACTGTCGGCCCCCATCTCGAGCCCAGCTCCACAAACGTGCGAGGAACCCGCTCGCCACTGCTGGGGCCGAATTGGCAACCCGAGCTTGTCGAGCAACTGCGTGATGTCGTGGGGCTGCAGTTGGTCGAAGATGACGGCTTCGCGGCCTTCAGCACCCTCCAGTGTCGTGCCCCATTCGGTGAGATCCACAGGGTCCTAGCCGTATTGAAGTAAGTCGCAGATGTCCGTTTCCATGAGACCTTTGATGTGCTTGGTGCGTTCTTGGGGCGATAGACTCCGAATTGTCTGAACCACCTTGCTCCATGCTGCACGCGCGCCAGCGTGAATCTTCGGCGAGGACGCCCACGATGATGATCATAGCTTCAAATAGTCACGAGGTATCTTTATCTAGGGTCGTGGCCTGAGCGCCGCAGGTCGAGGACGGATGTCGGACGCCTGCCTCGGCGCGCCGAGCTAGCTGCGTGGCCCCGTTTCATGCGCATTGCCAACGCGCCCGCGCCGACAACGCAATGCATCTGGTGCCTTGAGTGCTCAGCGGGCTGGGAGCCCACCGTCTCAAGACGAGCTGCTCATTGATGTCGCCGAGCTGCGTGTTCGACGCGTCTGATCTTCGCGTGCATGCCCGACGCCGTCGCAACCAGTTTCTTAGCCGTGCTCCTCGCGTGACGTTCTGCACCCGAGTCGACCCCCAGGTATCTTGCTTGCAACGCGGGGAGGATTGCAATGCCATTCTTCTGGAGGGGGGCCGAGATGTCACGAGCGTCCCGAGAGCAACGCAGAACGCTCGTGATAAATTCAGTCAACCGCTTCTTAAGAGAAGACTTAGAGACAACAACGTACTGACATGAATCATTGATCCACAGCCCCGCGTCGACCATCGGGCTCCCCTTGGTGACGGCGTCGAGGATGTAGTGCGTCGTGCATCTAGCGAACCTGGCACCGCTGCGCAATCCTTGCGCCGCGCTCCCCGCGGGAAGGAACGCCAGCGAGAAGCAGTCGCGTTGGATCAGAACGCGAGGCCCCGGGCAGAGTTGGAGCTCCAGGATAAGCATGATTGGGGGAGAGCCTGGCGACAAGGCTTTATCAGCCAGTGCGATCCGTGAAATATTATCGTAAAAGGATTGAATACCAATAAGTCCGGGACCAAAGGCGACTCCCATGACAGCGTGAATCCCTTCACCCGCGACGCGCAGAAAGCACTCTCTGAGCCCTGAGTTGCCTGCAATTGCCGCGTCCCAATGTGGTTGTGAGTCGCATGTCCATTATTCAATCGCTTCGCTCATTCCGCCGGCCCATGTTGTATGATCGCTACTGCTTCGCCGTGGGCCCGGTGCCATTGTGGCGCCGCCGAGGAGAAAGAAGATGAGGATGGGGAAGGCGAGGGGAGAAGGAGAGAAGGATCCGAAAAAAGAAAAGAACTATGAAAATAAATATGAGGAGGAGGAGGAGGAGGAAGAGGAAGGGGCGGAGGAGGAAGCCTCTCGTTGGCATCTTGTGTTGCTCTTGGGGCCAAACAGGGTCGTCGTCAAGATGCTTCTTTGGGAGGCCTCTTGGGGTCTTTTGAAAAGCCGTTCGGGGGCGCATGGGAGGCATTTTTGAAGCCTTCTGGGGGGCCTCCTGGGGGCCTCCTGGGGCCTCTTGGGGGCCTCTTGGCGGCATCTTGGGGCCTCTTGGGGGCCTCTCGGGGCCTCCTGGGGCCCTCTTGGGGCGGAAGGCGCGAGGTTTCGGTTCGTGGTCCCCCTCTTGGGCCCCTCTTGGGGCCGTCTTGGGGCCGTCTTGGGCCGTCTTGGGCGCCTCTTGGGTCGTCTCGGGGCCCTCTTGGGCCCTCTTGGGGCCCTCTTGGGAGCCTCTTGGCCCGTCTTGGGGCGCTCTTGGGGGCCTCTTGGGCCGTCTTGGAGCATCGGATGGCCGAAAAGGGGACAAGGCCCAAATCCTTCCGAAACCATAGTAACATTTATGATTTGGGCCTTTCGGGGCCCTCTTGTGAGGTCTCTTGGAGGCCACTTAGAGGCCTTTTGGGCCGTTTTGGGGTCATCATCGGCGTCTTGGAGCGCTCCTCGGGCGTCTCGGGGGCCCTTTGGGCAGTCTTGGGGGCCTCTTGGGGCACTCTTGGCGCGCTCTGGGGGGCCTGAGACGCCACACCCAGGAGGAAAACCATCTCTGGGTAGCAATAGTCGGGCCGCGATCGGGGTACTTTTCGCCGGGGGACCCCCAGGGGCCGCCCCGCGCGCGCGAACTAGAAATATTGTTAACCAGCTACCGGAGATCTTAGCACGCCTCTGGCCCGTTGGGCCGGCGAATTCGACCCGCGGCTCTCTCGCGAGAGACCATGAGCTGGGTGCCGTAGCAATCATGGAAATGGGACGATCTCCTCCGCTTGTCTGTGCTAGATGACGGCCAATGACGAGCAGCAATTGCCACGGTCACGTCAAACGTGATTCCACGGCATTGGAGATGTCTGCCAATTTGTCTAAGCCTTCAAACAGAAGGCGTTCCACATCGAGTGGAGAGAGTCGGTGCGCACCTTGACCTGCACGAGTGCGCATCAGATGCGCAGCAGCACGTATCTCGGGGCATGTGATCCGAGGTGGGGCTTCCACCTTTTGCTGCCTCGCGGATGCTGTTACATGTGCGAAACAGTTTATCTCGATCTAAAGGCCTGCTACACCACAAACAATGCCTATGTCCCCACATTGTAGTCAATGATATCTTTGGGATGGTAAGGTATTTCGCCTTGCAATGCCAACTCCTCTGCTGGTTAAGGATAGCTCTTTATGGGCCGATGCAGTATAGGTAAAACCGTTTCCGAAACCATCCATGAGCGAAATTCCTTCAGAGACCGATGTAAGGCACGACCACGAGCGCGCCGACGCGCGCTCTCTGCCGCCTCCACCATGGCTGGCAAGGTATCCGTAGAGGTGCGAAGCGGGTCTCGCATGACACTGAGCCACAGCTGCCAGTCCCACATCTCGCTGACCAGAGTGTGCACGATCGACGGGTGGTCGCCGATCAGCCTGAGAGACGCCTCAGCCAGAGCCACGCACTGCCGACGTCCATTGCCTCGTTGACGATGCGTCAAGGTCCTGGGGAGGACCGTTCGGGCTCTCCCACCAAGAGCTCACCTGGTCGAGGAGCGGCTGTCCACGGTCCTTGACTGACATGCGGACCTCCCTTACCTGGAAACTCGGCCCCTCCGCTCGGCATCTCGAGAAAGCCGGCGGGGTCTGACCGTGGTGATCGTAAATCGTAGTTTCCAGAGTGGTGGTCCATGCTGCGAACGTGCCGTTGACTGCTGTGATGCGCCGCGTTCCGACAAGACAGGCGAGGGAGTCTCTGGCCGCCCTCCAATGGCACACAAAACCTACTTGGGCGCGGTGCTCGAGCCAAGATGTTGACGGAATGAGGGAAACAGGGGGAGGCGGCGAGGGGGCAGCATGGGCATTGGCAGGGATCCCCGCGTGAAGCTCCGATGGGCCGTGAGATGTACCTGGGTCATAATTTCGAGCATTAGCAGGCTGATGCTGAGCGGGCCTCGCCAAGGGCTCAACCGGGGGCTGGGAAGGGGCCACTAAGCTAGCAAGGTAGCAAGGTCTAAACCAACGGGCTGTCCTCCATCCTGCGGGTTCTCACGGGCGCCAGCGAGCCCCGAGGTTGTCCTCGCTGGCCCAGGGCCCCCCCTCCTCTTCAGGCCAACCCAGGTGATTCAAAGCATGGCGCTGTTCGGGGTGAGACGGGGGCGCAGCATCCTGACCAAGCGAGCCTGTTCCGCCTTGTGGCGAGGACGCCACGCCCCCAGACAGGGCAGCACAGGTTGAGCGCATCTTCCCGCGAGAGACAGCATGCTGCCCAGCTCTCTCCAACTTGGCTGCCGACGACTTCGAGTCAGGGGGCGGGAGGGAAGGGGGGCGCAGAGACTGCGGCAGCTTGTGGGGTGGATCGTGGATCAGGTGATCGCAAACATGGATCAAGGGGGCGTGAACTTGCGACGGGGGAAATCGCGGATTTCCGCCGCCGAACGAGGCGGTGCCGGCCGCATTTTGGGGAGGGCACTTCCCCCGATCCATGGATTTGGCGACCGCGCGCCAAATCCATGGATCGCGAATCCGCGTTTGCGCGCCCCCGAGTGGAGAGAGGGATCGAGTGGGCAGCCGTGCCCCTGATCCACGAAAATACATTAACAATCCACACTGCGATTACCATGGCACATCGACCACAGCACGAGCATTCTAAATGTACGGTCAGAAACGGCTGGATGCGGTTGCAAAATCACGGTCAGTGCCTTCAGGACTTGGAGCTGGCGGTGTACGCGATGGACGTATTCTCAGCTGGCAACGCGCCCGCCGACCCTGTGAACAAAACCGTGGTGCGCGAGGGGGGCCGGTGACATGTTCCAATCGGCGGACACTATCCAAGGCAGAGAACGTGAAGTAAGTGAGGCACAGCCGAGTATACCGTTGTAGGTTGCGAGTGCACCAGCCTTCTCCAGAGTGCCCGTAGAAGACTGCAGCGAATGAGTAGCCGTTCACCTCACTGGCCGACGCGTGGAAGCCGCCGAGCAATCAGCGCCCGTCAGCTCGTAGCGCAGCCCACGAGTCAGTGGCAAGAGTGTGGGTGGCACGGTGGCCTTCAGATAGAAGCCATTATCCGCTCTCGTTGGAGCGGTTCTCGTTGTCCCGATGGTCGCTCTTCCCGATGGCCTGGCTGGGTTGGCTGTCAGTCGGAGTCCAGCCTTATCGGCCTCCTTGCGCCAGTGATCCAGATCTTCAGGGTCCACGTGAAACTCAACTTCGCCTGTAATGTAAAATCTGTCATGCTGCGAAGAGATAGTGTAATCCCACATCTTAGGGCCAGCACAAGTGACGCTGGCGGACAACAACGTGGACTGATCATTATCTGAAGTCGACCCCGTACCCCGCGCCGTCGAACGACCCCATGCCCTGGCAGTCGCCGCGCTGGTCGGACTCGCACTTGGGCCACAAGTCGCTCTCGGCGTCGCATCTCATGCTGGGGTCGCGGCCGCCTTTTCAGAGGCGGCCGTCGCTGCAGCTGCTGGTTCCTTGGCTTCCTTGGCTGTGTTGGCCGCCGCGAGCTTGGGCCCCGACAGGTTTTCCTCCGCTGCTGCGTGACGCAGCTGGCCAGCTCCCTCGCCACTTTTAGCATCCCCGTGGTGGGGGCCCCGCTGCCGTGGGCTGGTCTGGCTTGGCTGGCTTGGCGGTGCCGCTTCGCCTGAATCACCCTTGCGCTTCTTGGCCATCCCTTCCGTGCTGGTGTTCTTCATGGCTGCCGCCTTCTCCTGCCACTGCTTCGACTCGGCGTGCGCGCTGCTGTCGATCTGCTACGTGGAGCGCAACTGGTTCTCACGCTCGCGCATGGTGGTGCGTTCGCTCTCGTCGCACTCCAGCTCGCCTAGGTCCGCGAAGAACTGCTCGTCGATCGTGAGCGCGAAGAGGTCGTCGTTGGGCGTGGCGGGCTCACTCTTCTCCGTCTGCAGGTCGCTGCCGATCACGCCCATATGCTGAGCTAGCACGCGCGCTGCCTTGCTCCAGGCCTCGTCCGCCTGGGCCAGCTCCAGCGCTGCGGCCCGATCTCTGGCCTCGGCGTGCTCAAGGTTGTCTCTGGCCTTGAGGACTGCCGACACCGCTTGGTCGTGCCTCGCAGGGGCCGCTCTCCAAGCTCCCGCCGTCTGGCGTACGGCCTCGTTGGGATTCCTGGGAGGGCTTCGCTTGGTCCTTCTTCTGGGTCCCGTCACCCAGCAGCTTCCTGAGGAGGGGGCCCGTGGTAGCCGCAAGCGTGGACGTCAGCAGCTTGATGTCCATGGACGCCGAATTGGGGCTCCCTGCGCCAGGCTTCGGACCCCTTGATTTCTGGGAGTCTGGGATCTGCAGCTGGTTGTCGCTGTTCTTGCGCTTGGGGTGGTACAGCTTGACGTGGCGCCCGCAGCCGCAGCACTTCCTGCCGCGGGACTCCAGAGTCGCGTTGCCCACGCATTTGCCACATGCGGCACACTTGGACCATGAAGAACTGTAAGTGTTGCCCGTGCCCTTCGTCATCTCGCCAATCAGAGCGACTGCGCTCTCAGGCAGCCTGGGGACAGCTGCGCGTTGGCGCAGCATACTGATTCCTTCCAAGCACCGCGTGAAGGCGGTGAGAGCTGCGCGCGAGCTGCCCAAACGGTGCTCGAGCCCAAGTTGCTTGAGTGGAGAAGGGCAGGAGCAGGAGGAGCGGGAGAAGGAGGAGGACTGGGAGGAGAACGGAGAAGGAAGGAGGCTCTCCCGCCCCATCCCCCTTCTCCCCGTGCGGTGTTCTGCCTTCTTCTCTCCTTCTTCTCTCCGGGCGTTCCTCCCCCTCTACTCGTGCTCTGCCGAGAGCGGAGGTAAGGATTCCTAGGGGGAAGGTGGATGGTGGGCACTGGACTTGGGAGCGAGCAGGGAGGGGCGAGATGAAGATGATGATGGTGAAGGATGAGAAGATGGAGGAAGGGTTGTAGATATGGGAGGAGGGAGGACAGAGAAAGGAGGGAGGGAGGTAGAGTGGAGTGGAGGGATCGGACGGGCTGGATGCGAGGGGAGGGGATGGCAGTCATGCAAGAGTTTAGCGGGGAGGGAAGACGATGTAGGGAGGATGGTCGATTTGTCTGTTCGTCAGAGGGTGGTTGTAGGCACCATTCTGGCACAGCAGTTCTAGGGCAGGCAGGTCTATGGGAGTCCATCTCTTGCTCATATCTGACTGTTTGTATAGGGTCGTTCGGGGTACAGCCGACTTTGAGCCAATATCAAGTGGATGTGGGACCAGGAACGCTGAACGATGCGTCCGTAGTATAGGCTCCAAAGCAGAGCCTTCACGAACTTTGGATCGACTCTGCCACCGCTCTGTGTAGTCTTCTTCTGTACGTTTCCCCTCTGCCAGCGCCAGCCGGTCTACATCCAGATGAGTTCATTCATTCGGTGTTGATGATGGCCACGATCATGATGCCGATGACGAGATATGATGTTATGGTGTGGGGGTGTTGAGGATGATGGGGGGTGATGAGTATGACGATGTTTGCTGATAGGCGAAAATTATGTTGTTGATGATTATGATGATGATGGTGGTGATGATGATGATGATGATAATGATGATGATGATGCGATTGACGATGATTACGATGACGACATTGACGACGATGACGGGGACGATGACGATGCTGATGATGTTGAGGCTGATGAGGCTTATGCTGTTGACGATTACGATGAGCATGCAGATTATGGTGATGCTGATGGTGGTGGTGATGATGATGATGATGGTGATGCTGATGCTGTTGATGATGATGATCCTGATGATGCTGATGATGATGATGTTGATGATGATGTTGCTGGTGATGCTAATGAAGATGCTGAAGCTGATGATGCTGATGATGATTATGATGATGCTGACGACGACGATGATGATGCCGATGATGGTGATGATTAGGTTGATGCTGATAATGCTGATGATGATGCTGATGATGATGATGCTGATGATGCTGCTGATGATGATGGTGATGCTGATGATGCTGATGACGAAGCTGAGGACGATGATGCTGATGATTATGCTGATGATGCTGATGACGAAGATGATGATGATGATGTTGCTGATGATGATCGTGGCGGTGGTAGTGGCGGTGGTGGTGGTGGTGGTGATGTTGATGGTGGCGATGATGATGTTGATGATGGTGATGGTGATGGTGATGACGATGACGACGACGCCAATGACGATGACGATGACGATGACGATGACGATGACGATGACGATGACGATGAGGATGATGATGATGATGATGATGATGGTGACGATGATGATGATGATGATGATGATGATGATGATGATGATGATGATGATGATGATGATGATGATGATGGTGATGATGATGATGATGATGATGATGATGACTATGATGATGCTGCTGCTGCTGATGATGATTATGACGACGATAATCACGATGACGATGACGATGAGTATGATGATGATGGGAATGATGATGATGATGATGATGATGATGATGATGATGATGATGATGATGATGATGATGAGGAGGAGGAGGAGGAGGAGGAGGAGGAGGAGGACGACGAGCGAGTGAACAGGAGGTTCCAAGATGGGGTGCAGCGGGATGCGGCAGGAGGGTGGGAGGAATGCGGGATGGTGGAGTGGGATATTGGAGGAGGGATTGGGGTCGGCTTGCCCCCACAGCTGCCGCGCCTTGCAGGTGGCGGTGTCTTTCAGCTGCGGCCGCGGCGGGGCTTTCGCGGGCTCGCCGGCGCCCCGCGGCCTGCCTGCTGGCGCGCCGCAGCCGGCCGAGTGGACCCACCCTGGCCTTCTCGCCCTCCCCCTTCTTTGCTCAGGAGAGGTCTGGGGTGTGGCGGTATCGGTATCTTCTTGATTCCCAGAGGAGAGAGAGTTGGGCCCTCGGGGGTTTCCCGATGTTTTATGGGAAATGCTCCTCCTCCTCCTCCTCCTCCCTCCTCCTCCTCCTCCTCCTCCTCCTACTCCTCTTCCTCCCTTTCCTCCTCCTCCTTTTCCTCCTCCTTTTCCTCCTCCTTTTCCTCCTACTCCTCCTCTTCCTCTTCCTCCTCGTTCTCCTCGTCCTCCTCTTCCTCCGCCTCCGCCTTCGCCTCCCACCATCAGATGTTCTACGAACCTTGTGGAATTTGCACGGGATATTCTCAGAACAATTCTGGCTGAGATGGTCTGGAGCATTGGTTTTGTCCTCAACCATCCTGTGGTGTTGGGTCCTCGTATTGCAGAGACAGCGCCCCGCGTCACCTCACACCTACTCCCGCTGCCCCCTTTCCCTCCCTCCTCCCATCCCTGCTTCTGCCCTCCACATGCCTCTGTTTCAGCACACTTCTCGCACGTTTTGTGGCCCTATAGGGAGCTCATCCCCCCTCTCTCCTCGTCCCCCCCTCTCTCCTTCCTCCCTCTCTCCTTCCCCCTCTCTCCTCGTCCCCCTCTCTCTCTCCACGCTCCTCGTCCCCCCCCTCTCTCTCCACGCTCTCGTCCCCCCCTCTCTCCTTCCTCCCTCTCTCCACGCTGCTCGTCCCCCCCCTCCCCCCTCTCTCCTTCCTCCCCCTCCTGCTCCCCTCTCGTTTCCTGCGTCAGTCGTGAGACGCTCCAGTTTTTTCTGCTTCACAGTCGAGCCTCTGTGTTCACGCAATCCATCTGCAAGATGTCCCTTGCATTGTCACGAAGAGCTGCCAATCGTGCACTCTTCTGCCCACGCGTCCTTCCGGATGCTCGGCTCAGCCATGCCATGCCATAGGGAGCTCCATCTAAGGCCCCAGTGGCAGCGCCCGCATGCAGTTCTACCTCCATTTTCTGCACCGCTCACACATTTCGTCGCCCCATAGGGTGCTCCACCGAAGTACCAGTGGCAGCGCCCGCATGCAGTTCCGCCCTCCATGTCGGCGAACCCCTCACACATTTCGTGGCCTCATAAGGAGGCTCCACCGATGGCCCCAGAGGCAGCGCCCGCATGCGGTTCCACCCTTCATTTCGGTGCATTCTCACACGTTTCGTGGCCCCATAGGGGGCTCCACCCATGGCTTCAGTGGCAGCGCCCGCATGCGGTTTCACCCTCAATTTCGGTGCACCCCTCATACGCTTCGTGGCCCCACAGGAAGCTCCACCGAAGGCCCCAGAGGCAGCGCCCGCATGCAATTCCACTCCTAATCCGGCGAGCCTCTCACACGTTTCATGCCAGGGGCGAGCCACTCCCATAGGGAGTTCCACCGAAGGCTCCAGTGGCAGCGCCTGCATGCGGTTCCACTCTCCATTTCGGTGCACCACTGGCGCGTTTCATGGCCCCATGGGGGGCTCCACCGAAGGCCCCAGTCCTTTAACGCGCTTCGTGGCCCCACAAAGGGACCTACCGACGGCGATACTCACAACGGCGATACCCACAACTGCATTTGGGTGGGCACTTCGCCAGGCTAATTTGTCGAACATTCGTTTGTTACTCGACCATGTGGTGGCAGGCCTATAGGAACATCGGGACGGCTGCTCTCTGCTCAGTCTATTCCCCCCCCCCCCTCCCCCTCCCTCATCCTCCCTACCCAGGTTTGGGAGTCGTGTGAAAATTACGGCCGGGGCTTTTGGCCCCCTTCGGACCCCAGGGCTTTCACGGGGCGATGTGGCTCGAGAGGCGAGGCAGAAGTACCCGGGTCGAGGGCTCCAGTCGCGCTGGTCTCGCGATTTGTTTCGCTGATGAGCTGGATGGGCTAATTCGTGCCGCTCCATGTCCCACTCCTGGATACCGCCCTGCGCACGGTGACGAGGGGATCGGCAGCCTGGTTCTCACGACTCCTCCTTTCGCCTCTTCCCCGATCTGTCGACTTGCCACCGCGTCGCATCTCGGAGCCTCGTCCTGGCAGGGCTCTGGCTGAGCACAGACAGCCCTTCTGATGCGACGGCCCCATGTCGGAGGGCAGGAGGCTCCAACCGGACCAAGAGCCAGGGGGCTTCGGATGGTTGGCCAGGGGCTTCCGCTCGAGAGGCGAAGCCCGCACCAGGTCCAGATCGCTCCCTCCTCCTCGGTCTGCTCGGGCCTTTCCCTGGCCCCGGCCTCGGGCCTTCACGCCCCCCGCGGCACCGCGCCGCCCCCCGCGGTATTCGATGAGCGGCAGCGGTGCGCCGCCGCCTCTCCCGCCTCTCCCGCGGCCCCCGCGGTGCTCGCGGCGGCGGCGACGCAACGGCGGACGGCGAACGAGCGGCGACGAACGAGCGACAAGCGAGCGACGGCGGTCCCATCAGGAGTCAGAGGAGCAGAGACACCGATTCCCCTGACCACTCCTCATCGCCACGGCTGGATTCGTCCCGAAGTTTTGGTCAGGCCGAGTCCGTCCGTGGAGAGGTCCGGGGAGCAGCGGCGCCGGCACCTCCTGCCCCCCCCCCAAGAGCCACACGGGCGCCCCCCGACGTGCTTGGCGCTAGCTGCGACGCGCCGCTCCGTGCCAGCTGCGGCCTGCCGGCGGGCCGCGGCGAGCTCCCGGAGCTGCGGCGGCCGAGCGGCGACGCGCGAGCGACGGCGGTCCCCTCC